TAGAACTAAGTCACGTTCCTTGGTTAGGAGAGAAGTCCCAGGGTCATTCCAGTGGCAATGTGACCTCTATTGCTTCTTGTTAAATAAGGGACCAGCATGAGCCGGGCCACAGTTTAGCAATGAGGGGTGAACGGAAAGGATGGGTCCTGGAACAGCTGGGAGGCAGCTGGCATAGCCAGCGTTTCCAAACCCCGGAAAACAGCATGTCCTTGAAGCCCAGGAGCATTTGCCCAGTCATAGAATGTTGCCAGGGGAAGGTCTCTTTGCTGTATAGAAAAGGAAACTGAGGTCCAGAAAAAGAAAATGATTGCTGGCCACCGGGCTATCTCTGGATCAACTTTTTAATTTTCACTTCCTAGGGACTTTGGACATTTATTCTGTAGCTAGAAATCATCAAAAACTGAAAGGCTAGGTGTATATGTTTATTTAATGTTAGAACTGAACAAGAAAAAAGAGTCAGGAAAACTAGACCTAGATTAAACATCACTGTGAGTTCAATAACTTAGGTGATAGGAGTTTCTAAACTGATTATGCTCTAGAACTAATCATGGAAACGTACGGAATACTGAAGAATAAATACACACTTCCTAAAAGGGAAAAAAAATCACTTTAAGATCATTGTAACTGAAATAAAACCCAGAGTCTGTGTATTGCATTAGCTAAGTAGCAGTTTACAGGGGAGCTTAAATAGTCTAGGGGGTAGGGGGGAACAGATATTTTTTTAAAAAATAAAATAAAAGACCAGCAACAAAAACAAAAATTTCTGTGTAGCACCAATTCATAATACTCAGGGAAAAACAGAACTGGGAGGGGACCCCTGAACTAAGAGCTTATCTATGTAGGTAATGAGCCAAATCCAGTGAGATAACCATGCTATTGTTCAGAAATTCTCTTAGGGCTGTCAGCAGCATCCTGAGGCCTGAAGGTGCCACTGAGGCCATCGGCTGTAGAGGCAGCTCACTCCCTACTGTGCCAGCCCATTGTGCACAAAGTTAGAAATGTGACCGGATGGCACACTCAAGGAAAATTACTTTTGAAATTGAGTTTTCAACATTTCTGTTAAGGATTTTTTGTTTGTTTGTTTTTTAGAACAACAACAACAACAAAACTCCATCAGGTAAGAAGATGCTTCTATTAAAAAAAAAGAATGAGGAGAACACAGTAGCACATTTAAAGTAAAATTTTAATGATAAGATAATGAAAGAAGAATGAAAAATTGGAACTACCAGCTTAACCTCTGACGTTGAGCTAAGTATTATGCATCCTTGTCAGTGCCTGAGAATGGTGAGAATCGCCTGGAGAGCTTTAAAAAGTTCTAATGCCTTCACTCCATCCCAGACCAATGGCATTTGCCTCTCTGGGGTGGGACTCGGGCTTCGGCACTTTTTAAAGCTCCTCGGGTGACTCCATTGTGCAGCCCAGTTGAATTCACCGCTGTGGGGAGTTAGTCTAAATTTTGAGTATCAGCTACTCTTAACTAAAACAGGATAAACTAACCAGCCACCCTAGGAGCACAATACCCTGAAATGTCACCCAACTGGGTACAAAATTACAATGTTAACAACTTGTCTTTTAAGTCAAACATACCCAGGTTTCTAACTTTGCCTCTCTTCAGACATCTCCACAGCAGAAGCAATTACCTCTTGATTGAATTCAAGTATTTTTTCCCCTCAGTACACTTATGGCGCGCGCGAGGTACAAACTGAGAATGAGAAATCTCATCATCACTCCCCACCCCCTTTGGTTGGCCTGTCAAAACAGAAAAATAAAGACTAACTTCTCTTAAATGTTTCAAAACAAAATAATTAAGATGTATCATTGGGTAAATAACCACAAAACTCAATGAGGTATTTCCTGTATTTTTTAACAGTCACAGGCTCAGGGTCAATCATGGAAAGAGCTGCATAGTTTTGATTCTGCCAAATGGCTCAGTGCAGTTACATCGCAGGAGGATGGCACTGGTGAGAGTTCTGAACACGTGAGCCCTCCAGCCATGGGGGCACCTGCCTGCGGAGCTGCGGAGTGGGAGCATCACAACAATTTGTGATGCTCTTGTGACAAAACAGCGTCATTGCAGGCGTTTATCCCGCCCTGCTATCTCACTAAATAATAAGAAGACAGCTTTAATTGTCCTGAAGTCTTGATATGTCTCCCAAGGAAAATATCAGGGATGGTGGCTAGATTACTAGTGGGTTTCTAAGAAAAGGGTCACTCTACCATGGAAGGGATTAAATCGTTAAAGCTGCCATGAAAATAAGAATCAACCCTCCATCCCCACCCCTACTCCAGCCCACAAATGTCTCTTTGTCTGAAGAAGACATTCAGGTAGTGAAGGGAATGAAATCAATACCCTCTGCTGGCCTGGTGCAAATACTGACTGATTCCAGAAGGAGAAGATAGTTGTAAGATAACTACATTTGGCTTCCAGGTGGTGATGGTGTGTTTGTTTTCTCATACCAAATGTATGGGAATACTATTCAGCAATGAAAAGGAAGTACTCATGCCTACTACGACATGGATGAACCTCAGAAACAAGTCATATATTTGTATCATTCCATTTTATATGAAATGGCCATAAAAGGCAATCTGTAGAGACTGGAAGTAGATTAGTGTTGTCTACGGCTGAGTATGGGAAAGGTGATTGGACTGCCGGTGGGCAGAAGGGAGGGGTCCTTTTGGTAGTGATTTTGAATGGTAGTACTGGCTGGACCACTCTGTAAACTAACTGAAAATCATGGAATTGTACCCATAAAATGGGTAAATTATTTGGCATATAAATTATTGTTCTTTGGATTAAATAAAACTGTGTGAAAAACCTTATCATGACATCTCTCCTGGGTTTGGGGGTGGGTCCTAAACTGCCATGTGGGTCTTTTTTCTGTCACTTACACTCCCTGTGAATACTCTGTCTCCAATATTCACCTGCAAAAAGTTACCAGGAAGGAGAGGAGGTGGGGGCAGGGAGAGCGAGAGAGAGTGAGAACCTTTCCAAGAAGTGTCCAGAAACACCTTATTACACTTGCCCTAATTAAGTTCCTATCCATCCTTGCGGCCAAGAAGACAGGATACACAGATCTGCACTATTTCTGCCAAAACCTGTGACTCTGAAATTAGAAGGAAGGAGGAAATGGAAACTGTGAAATCCACTACAATCCGTACAGTATCTAGACTTCTTGCTGTTAAATGCAGCATGTGGTTGAGGAAGAGTGGTCCCTTCCTCTCTTCTTTGGAGGTCTCTTCTTTGGAGGAGTGGTCCCTTTGGAACACCATGAAGAATTCAACAGACTAGGTAACTCCAAGACATACTACTATAATTGAATGAAGAAAGTAAGTTACCTATTCCCAGAGAGAGTGACTGAGAGGGACTACTTCAGTGGGGGGGTGGGGAGGGGAATTACCCTGTTTGGTAGGGGGTAATTCTCAAACCTGACTGCATCTCAGAATGACCTGACTCCCAAGCCCCGCCCCAAGGCTTCCTGAATCAAAACGTTCAGAGATGGGGCTCAGGATGTGCATGTTCAGTAAGCACTGCGGATGTAGCCAGGTCGGAGGCTTTGGGAACCACTATCTAAGGCTCATGCAAAACTCACCTTCGATAACAGTATCACAGCTCTGATCTGTGACTTCAATACGAAGAGACAAAATGGCCTGTGGTCTGAGAGTTCAAGTGCCACCAGTGTGAATGAAGAGAAAAAATGTCCTTACTCCCTGGTGGCGTATCACTTTCCTAGCAGATAATAGCAGATTCTGAGATTCTGTGCAATGACAACAGACTCCCAGTTCTGGGCTTTTAGCAAGGCAATCCAGCATAAATCCTTCCCGATGTATAAGAGAAGAAAAGGCAAATGTGAGGAGGGGAAGGGGCCGCCTCACAAGCTGGGCCTTCCCCTTGACAGTAAATGCAGCCCACTGGGGAATACCCGACTCCAGCAGAAACCAAGTCGGTAGGCTAGATCGCTAAGGTCCAAAGAATAACCAATCAGTTGTCAGGGTTTCTAACAAATTCGGGGAATGCGTTTATCAAACCCGGGTTGGTTTTAGTTTAGAAGTAGGGACTCGTTTCCACGGGAGCACGAAGTTGGGAAGTTTTGTTCCGAGGCCGCGTGGACCTGCTGGCTGTGCGGGGGTCCAAGGCCGCGGGGCGGGCGGCGGCCCTGCGCCACTTCAGCCGCCTGGGCCGAGCGGAGCCCGGGCCCCGGTGAGGGCCGCCGGGTCCCTCGTCGAGAACTGTGCTTTGGGGACCGTCACTCCCGAGCCCGTTGAGGCGGGTTCTGCAGTAGCGGCACATTGGGCCGCCTCCCCCGCCCGAGCGCAGTCTAGGCGCGGGTCCCGTCGCCGCCGCACACGCGTTCCCACACCTCTTGGCGCCGGTTCCCGCGGTCCCCAAGGCTCTAACCAGGGCCTTTGGCGCCTCCCCCCGAGGACCGGTGCGGCGTCCAGGTGGCCGAGCCCCGCACCGCGGGGGGGAGGCGCCTGGGCGCGGGCCTCACCCCAGGACGGGGAGGGGGTGAGGGTGGAGCTGGACACCGCCTCCCAGCCCCGGGGGACCGGCTCCCGGCCCCCTCCCCGCGTGCCCCCCGCACAGTGCTCATGCGCGCGGCGGCCCAGCCTTTATAGCGGCCGCAGGAGCCGCGCTCTCCGCACTCAGGCGCAGCGGGGTGGGTCCGACTCAGGTGCGGAGCCCTGGGGGTCCGGCGCGGGCGTGCGGATCCCTGCGCCTTTGCGCGCGTCTCTTTTGTCGCTCCCACTTGTCAGTCTATCTTTTTAGTTCACCCTTCAGTCGGGTCCGCGGCTGCACATCGATTCTAGGTCGAGCTCGATTTGCAGCCGGAGCGTCGCCTCCAGACCGGGGCGGGGCGGGGGGTAGTTAGCTCCGGGACGGAGGCCCTTCGGTCTCCCCGGTCTCCTGGGCCGCGCCTGGGTTTCCGAGGGCTGCCTGCTCGCCGGAGCCTCCCTCGCATTCTCCGTCTCTCCCAGGTGCACACAGCCCCGTGACTACCATGGCCGCAGCCTGGAGCCCCGCTCTCTGCCTCGGTGGGTTCGCGCCCCCCGCCTCCCTCCTCGCGCCAGGGCGGGCGGAGGCTGGAGCCGGCCCTCGTGCTGTCCTCTCTTCGCAGGTGTGACTCTGCTGCTGCAGCTGCCAGAGTTTGCGGGCGGCGAGGGAGCCGGTGAGTGGCGGGTGTCCGGCGGGGGAAGCAGGGCTGGGTCCGGGCGGTGGGAGGGGCTGAGGGCCGGCAGGTAGGAGCGCGCTCAGGTGGAGCCCCTGGACCGCGGCGCGGGGGTGGGGGCTGGAGCGCGCGCAGGTTGGAGCGGCCGCCTGGCGCACCCCCATTCGTGCCTACAGCTCGTCGTCTCTGGCTCACGCATTTCTCCCCTGCGAGGAGGCCCCTCAGGTCCGAAGAGGATGTTCTTTCTAAGGCTCGGAGAAGGAAGCCTCCCCACCCCACCCCACCCCCATTCACACCCACATCTCGGGAGCCCGGGGCAAGCCGAACTGTGACAGCGGAAGGTCAAGGCAGGGGGTGTTCCTTGAGCCCCACAGAAGGTTGGGGGCGCTAACTAGTCCCGGGTGTTCGCGGCCGTTTGGAACCAGGGGAAGCCTGCTAGACCCGACTCAGACTGTCAGGGCTGACGGAGAGAGACAAAGAGACTTCTGTCGTTGTCCCCTGCCTGTGCTTCTAGAAGTATCCCCTATAAATAACAGCATTCGAGAGTCCTTTTAAGAGTTTGTTCCACGTGTAGAAGGCCGAGTATGGGTGTGTGGTTCGGTGTGTTTTCTACAACGTAAAAGGCAAACTCTCTTCCAAAATCTATCCTTTGTTTTCCTTGAAAGGAGAAATGAAGGTAAGAATTGCACCGGGTTGTGTTCAGCTCCCCAGCTGCCTCCCCCCGCCCCATACACTCTCTTCTCTCATTAAAGTCAGTGTTGACAGATAGAGGTAACTTGTCTGATGCCACCAGAAATGGGAGGAAGAATTAAGGCTGTTTGATAGCAGGTGTGAAGCTACTGTGCTTGATAAGGACTTTTTATTTCCCCAGCAACGCGGAGTGTTTCAGAGCTGAGGGACTGGCACTGTGCCTGGCTTCCTGCCTCCCCGTCCAGGGACATGTACAGGGCAGGGTACCGCTCAACACGCAGAGCCCTTAGCGGAGGGTCTTGGTGGGAGGCAGGCTACTCAACTGGGCAAGATGAGCGACCGTATTCTCTGTCTTGGAAAAACTATTTATAAAATTAATATTTGTTTCGAAAGGTTTGGATAACCATAGTGTCCTGTGTTTAGAAAGTAGTATTTAATAACATTATTCTAAATTGAGTATTTACAGTAAATTGATTAATCAACATGGTGTATTATGGCATCTTGTTACATGTTGCCAAGGGCTTGTCTGTACCTAACATCTTTCAGAGTAAAACCTCTGATTCCTTATTAGCCGGGTTGACCATGTAAAACTTGAGAGTATTAACAGTGCTTTTTATGGCTCTCCCGACAGATCTGGAACAGAAATAAACAGGTTCAGTTCAGATAATAACACTCCCTTCTGAAGGGACTCACTTCCCTGTTTCCTGTTCTGCAGGAGTTGCAGAATGTTCCTTGTGCTGTGTGACCTTGGGCAAATTAACCCCATGGCTTTAATTTCTTCATCTGTAAAATGAGTGATTGAGCTAAATGACATTCAATAAAGGGAAGCATCTTTTTACTTTGCTTAAATTGACATATCTTAAAGGTATAAATGGGTCTCTGGAACAAAGGATGACTTAGAAAGGTTTGTGCAAGTGTCTATGAAAATGTTCCTCACAGGCTCAACCCAGATTTAATGCTGTTAGCTCAGGAAACTACATACACAGTTGTCATCAGAAGTGAGATTTTTATGTTTCTAGAATGAATTAATAAATGGCCAATGACTGTTATTTTATAGTTTTGATATAGTTCCAATTGTGTATTTTCAAACTGATAAGTGAGAAAATTCCCCAATTAGACTTTATAGTGGCTGAGGACTAAGTTAAATTGGAAAACTGATGTTTGGCTTGCTAAAATCTGGAATGGTGTAGGACAGTATTTAAGTCAATATTCCTAAGACGACGTGTTGAAATCAGGGAAGTGAAACGTCAGCCTCATCTAGTTTCCCCACCGACACTCCCCCGGAAGTCCTAAGAATGGTTATTACATTCCCTCCTTACTCTTCAGTTCCCATTGCTATCACGTGCTTTACCAGAGGCCTGGACATCAGGAAAGAAAAAGCAGATGTCCTCTGCCCGGGGGGCTGTCCTCTTGAGGAATTCTCCGTGTTTGGGAACATAGTATATGCTTCTGTGTCAAGCATATGTGGCGCCGCTGTCCACAGGTAAGCCCAAACACGCCAAGGGGAGAGAAATGCAAGTGTGATTATTTTCTTTCCCTCTCTAGCCATCTAGATCCCCCACCTTTTCTTTCTTTTGATGCCATAGAATATGGATACATTTTTAAGGTTATCCCAAATGTCCTTGAACACCAGCTACACAAGGGAAGCTTTCTGACCAAAGGCAAATTGCATTATTTCTTGAGAGCTAGATTTCTGTGATTCTGAAACATTGCTAATCATGTAATGTATTACTGAGCTTTTACTATGTGCCAGCCATTGTTTTAACTTCAGTGACAACTCTACCACTGTACAAGGTAGGTACAACTTTACTCCATTTTACAGATGAGGGAACATACTACAAGTGTATTCTTATTACACTTAAGCTTGACAGCACAAAACCATTTTGCCAGGCAGATTTTTCACCTACGTAAGCAAGTTTGTTAAAAAGCTGGCAGCATCCTTACATGGCTTTCCTGCTGAACTATTTTCTCAATTAAAGCAATAGACGCAGCATGGCAAAAGTCAGTCAGATGCCCCTGAAAAGTGTGGATAGACTCTCGGTTGTTATTCCTGTGTTGCAGGGGAGTAATCAGCAGCTCCGGGGGACCTGTGCGAATCTACAGCCTCCCGGGTCGAGAAAACTATTCCTCAGTAGTTGCCAATGGTATCCAGTCTCAGTCGCTTTCCAGATGGTCTGCTTCTTTCACAGTGACAAGTAGGTACAATTATGTTGTTCTTACTTTTGTGTAAACGTTGCCCCTCCCCCGCAAAAAAGTTTTCTGCTTTTCTCAGCCCAACCTCTTTGACTTTGATGGAAAAACCTGTGATCAAGACTGAAGGGGTCAACTATGGGTTAGAGTCAGGGGACCAAAAGGGTCAGGGATCCACTCAGAAAATGGCAATAGAGACTTGAATGGTCTCTAATCAGAATGCCCTGACATTTACCAATTAACACTAAATCAAAAAATGAGTGGATGAATGTGAATTCATTTTTGGTGATCCTTTTAAAATATGACATAATAGATAAGAATCCATTCTGGTCCTTGAAAACCAGAATGCAGTAGTTATTGCTGCAATTACCATCACTCTATTATACTTATTTATTATCCTATAGAACCCTAAATTAGAGTCATTATGCTTTGATGATAAAGAAAAGAGGAAAAATGGTGTCCTCTTTATTTTGACAGAAGGCAAAAGTGGTACCCAGGAAGCCACAGGACAAGCAGTGTCCACAGCACGTCCGCCAGCAGGTATGAAATATGGAGCTTATAGTTGCCTGACACAGCATAGGGCAGTCCTGGATTGGACACATATCAACTGTGTAGGCCTTCTACCATCCTGACTTGTTTCTTTGTTGGGGCATTTCTTCCCTAGTCCAGAAATTCATTAGGAAATTAATTTTTTTTTAAAAAAAAGTCTTTTTAAGAATGACACTCCTTGTGGGCTTCTTGCTATGGAACTTGTCTTCCTTTTGCTAATGCCAAATGCTTCCTTTGCTTTAGGCAAACGACTAAAGAAAACACCAGACAAGAAAGCTGGCAATAAAGGTAAGAGTCTACGTATCCATTTAGGAAGATAACATTCTCTCTCCCTCCTCTTAAAACTACTGACAGAGAGACTTGTTTTTCACAGACTGTAAAGCAGACATTGCGTTTCTGATTGATGGGAGTTTTAATATTGGGCAGCGCCGATTTAATCTGCAGAAGAATTTTGTTGGGAAAGTGGCTCTAATGCTGGGAATTGGAACAGAAGGACCACATGTGGGCCTTGTTCAAGCCAGGTACCAGCCTTGTTATAATTGGAGGAGACTTAAATAATGTCTTGAATGATGACAAATGATCAGTCCTTTTAGTAGGTGCATTCCTTTCAATTGAATATATACCTATTGAGTTGTGGACAATCTGGATTCCCAAACTATAAAGTCAGGATTTAAGAGTGCCTGAGCAGACTGGGTATGTCTAAGTGCCTCCTTTCTGGAAGAAAAGGATTTAGAGAATTACCTGCTATTTGAGGACCAGAAGGTAGACTGAAAGGTCTTGTTGCTCATATAATTACCTCTGTATACCCACTCTGCTCAATTCCTAATTTCTTTTCATAAAGGAAGAATAGACAGTGATATGTCCTGACCAAGAATTGAACCAGTAACCTCTCAATTTACAGAATGATGTTCCAACCAACCGAGCTATACTGTCCAGGACAAGAGAGTATTTCTTGAGTTTTAAAAGCTCAGACTATAAAAATTTCTTTATATCCTGTTTTTTTCATCCCTGGGTGTTCTGAACATTTTATATCAGAAATATTCTTCAAAAAATAATATTTCATGTTACTTTGCATGATTATTTAGCCATTCTTTTATTGCTTCTTCACCATTATACCATACACTGTGAAGAGCATCCCTGTGGCACCTGTGTCTCATCTCTAATTAGGCTAGATTCCTAGAAGTGGGATTGGGTCAAAGGGTTCTGACATTTTTAAGGATTCTGAAGTAAACAGTTAAGTTGCTTTCTAGAAAGTTGATCCAGTTTAAACCACTATCAGCAGTGTGTAAGGGTGTCACCAGTACTATTACAAATATCAACTTATATTTAACTTGTCCTTATATTATTTTTTAAAATTGGTTCTTAATTTAGATAGAATTTTTTGGTGTGAGAATTTAACTTTGTTGTTTTCTACATGATTTAACAATTTGTTCCAAGCCCTTAAAAAAAAAAAAGAGAGAGAGCTTCCTATTCCATTGATTTATGATATCAATTTTACATAGAAGTTTAGGCAAGTCTGTTTCTTTATTTGCTACTTTTTACATCTGCAATGCCTTTTTATTTCTGCAATGCCTTTATTATTGTAGCTTTATTGTACATTTTAACACCCCATAAGGCAAATTCCCCATAGTACTTCTCTTATACTTTTCCTTTGCTATTTTTACCCAATTCTCTTTCAAGATGAAAACTACACTACCCTGAAGACTCATACAAAGACTAGCTTTTTTTTTTTTAATCAACTTCCTGGTTTATAGTTTCTCTATTTTAAGAACTACATCAAGAGTTTTTATTTAAGCAGAATAACAATATATCATTAAGGAGATAATAAGACTAATTTGGGTAGCTGAAAAGTGACCATAAAAGTAAAATCATAAATCATAATTTGGATAGGTGAAATGTGACCATAAAAGGGAAAAGGTTATCCAACCCATGAAATCTGATTTTGTGACCCAACATTCCATGAGTTACACAGAAATTATACCATCAAGTATGCACAAGTACAATCAGGGCTGTATTTGTCCCTCAGAAATCTTGACTCAATGGCAATTGACCTAAGATCTTAAAAATTTTGCACTTATGAAATAGTGACTTCTCTGATAACACAAGAAATTGTGCTTTAACCGTTTTTACTCACCATGGTCTCTAATGAACAGTGTAGTTACAAAAGTGAGCTGTAATTTTTTTACTGTTAAGTGTGGAAAATCTCAAACCTCTTACCATACACTTAATTTTAAGATTAGCAAGTGTCAGTATCTTCTTATAAGAAAAATTCAATATTATAATACTTTATAATGCATTTCATTATAACTCTTCTCATTTTTTAAACCTCGGCCTGTCATCGAAATGGCCTCTTCTGACCGGGGACCCAGGGTGCAGGCCCAGACTGCTCGGTGCTTGTAGGGCCCCCGGTGGAGCAGCCCCAGCCTCGCACCAGGCAGGCCCCTGTTCAGCCCAGTGCCCTGAGCCAAGCTTGGTATCAGGTGCTCCATATAATCTGGGCATGGACTTTATATCCAAACAAATCTGAATTTAAAGTGTGACTACGTTTTGTTGGGAAAATTACCTAAATGTTCTGAGCCTGTTTCTTCATTTATATGATAGGGATAATAATTTCTACCTCATAGAGTTGTAATGAAATGAGATGATATATAATATACAGTACATTACCCAGAATATAGTAAACCCTTAAGGTAGCAATTGTTTTTGTTACATTTCTGAAAGATCCCTAATAACTCAAATAAGGATGTGTAATGCTTTAGTTGATGATATAAAGTGGGATTAAGAAAGAAATTTGGGCTCTGCCTACTTTAAAGGTTTTTAAAAATTCTATTACGTTGCTTGTTTCCTTTTCCCAAGTCTCTCTGAATAACATTTTTTTCCCCACTTAGTGAACATCCTAAAATAGAATTTTACTTGAAAAACTTTACGTCAGCCAAAGATGTTTTGTTTGCCATAAAGGAAGTAGGATTCCGAGGGGGTAATTCCAACACAGGTAAGTAGACTCTGGCACCTGGGAGGTAACACAGGAGAGGGTTATGAACGATCAAAGATGTAAAACATTATTGTGCTATTTTACATAAAGAGATCGGAAACTCTTCTTCCTGTCACTGTAATCTTGGCTAGGTATGTACTTGGTCTTTAATAGAAAACATACCAAAGGGTTTATTCATATTCCATATTTAAAACATATATATAGAAAGCATTGTGATTTATAAGCCTTATGACAAATAGGGCAGATGTCACTTTAGAGAAGTATCCATTTGGAATGCTAAAGAGAAGCAAAGATCAACAGACTTACCTAATAAATGTAGATGTGGTAGAAAAAACTTAGACCAGCACTAATGACCCTCAGAAAGGAGACTTTTTGTTCTGAGTCCTTAGAGGTACTCATCAGTCACTAGGGACGGGACGGAGAGCACAGATTGGGAGTGTTTTGTGTTTCTGACTGATGATTAATGTAAGAAAAGGAAATGTCTGGCTTTTGGAAAGTGCTGGTGTAAGTAATATGGATTTTGAAGACAAAAATAAAATAGGCAATGACAGATAACTAAACTTTCCCACCTTATGCATCTGTTATAGAACCAGGTTCTATATAAATTCTTAAACGAGGTGACATCAAGTTGGCACAGGGAAATAAAAATGTCATTTGAGCAGTGGTGCTGTTCCAGTTTGCTTCTTTTTCAAACCTAGGAAAAGCTTTGAAGCATACCGCCCAGAAATTCTTCACACCAGAAGCTGGAGTGAGAAAAGGGATCCCCAAAGTGGCGGTGGTATTTATTGATGGCTGGCCTTCTGATGACATTGAGGAAGCAGGCATTATGGCTAGAGAGTTTGGTGTCAATGTATTTATAGTTTCTGTGGCCAAGCCAATCCCTGAAGAACTGGGGATGGTTCAGGATGTTGCATTTATTGATAAGGTAAGGAGGTAAGGGGTGTCTTCTGTTATGGTAGTGATTCCATTTTGGACCTTGAGTCATAGAGCTGACCAGCCCATATCAGGATTGACTTTGAACATTCAAGATGTAATGTTTTCATTTTTAAGAAAACAAGTTTTGATCCCTTTGGATATCTTTTTATGTCTCTGCCTTCCCCTACATTAGGCCGTCTGTCGGAGTAATGGCTTCTTCTCTTACCACATGCCCAACTGGTTTGGCACCACAAAATACGTAAAGCCTCTGGTACAGAAGCTCTGCACTCATGAGCAAATGATGTGCAGCAAGACCTGCTATAACTCAGTGAACATTGCCTTTCTAATTGATGGCTCTAGCAGTGTTGGAGAGAGTAATTTCCGCCTCATGCTTGAATTTGTTTCCAACATAGCCAAGACTTTTGAAATCTCAGACATTGGTACCAAGATAGCTGCTGTACAGTTCACCTATGATCAGCGAACAGAATTCAGTTTCACCGACTACAGCACCAAAGAGAACGTCCTAGCGGCTATCAGAAACATCCGCTATATGAGTGGTGGAACTGCCACTGGTGATGCTATTTCCTTTACTGTGAGAAATGTGTTTGGCCCCATGAGGGACAGCCCCAACAAGCACTTCCTGGTAATTGTCACAGATGGACAGTCCTATGATGATGTCCGAGGCCCTGCTGCCGCTGCACAGGATGCAGGTAAGGTCCTTACCATTTGTCTAGGAAGAGAATTGGAGGGGTTCAGTGAATTTTATAGTAAATACAAACTTATGTATTTCATTGAACAAACACCTACAGTTATGTTCTCAAAGCTTTACCCAGTATTAACTGATTTTTGTTATGGCAGCTCTACTAATCTCATTCCAGATACAACAAGCAGCTTCTGCTACACACACAGTTAGTGGTAAGGCCAGTATTTCAAACCCAGGCATTCTGGCTGGGTCCATACTCCCAACCACCATCTTGCTGGGGAAATACCATGAGAACCAGGTCATTTGTCACAAAAATGTTACAGGTCCTCACATTTGACTCAGACTTGGAATATATCCACCCCTGCCCCTAGTCACAACAGTTTATCATAATTTGCTCTGAATCTACTATTTGATGTTATCCTTTTTTTTTTTTTTTAGTATTTTTCAGACTGGCAAGAGTTTCCAAAGATCATAAGGTCACCAATAATGATTTTAATTCTATTCCATCTAAACTTCCTTTTAAGTGTTTTTCCTTGATAATGAAAACACGCTCTGATGTTGTAAAGACTATGAAAAGGTTTTCTTTTTTCTCTTACCCCAACCTTAATATTTTGGCAAAAGTCCCTGGTTCGTGAAGACATTAGCATAATGTGTGCTGGGATCAAATAGGCCAACAAGATGAGGTTACCTTTCCCTGGGATGAAAATGAATGACTAGAGTCTAGTAATATTTAAAGAACAAAAATGCTCCTGTGGTGATGGGTGAGGGGGATTAGCAGCCTTCCATTTTTCTCCACTCTTCTGCACTTTTTTCTTCCTACTTAACTGCTAATAACAAACTTTTTCTTTTTGTACTTCAGTATCTCTGCTAATGCATTTACATATATTGATGGAACCGTTTTTAGTATTAATACATGCAATTTGATGCACTGGCTTATTTTTATCTGGCTGATTTTACACATCAGCAACTAACCTATGTTGAAGACCTGTTTGCTATCATACTCCTTAAAAATGTAGCTGACTGAACTAAGTTATGGTTAGCAGGATCGGATTCAGGCTAATGTGAACTAGATTAGTTCAAATATATTTTCCCTAATTGAATTTCAGGAGGTTGGGCCACACACTGTCATGAAAATTATTTTTAGTGATACCAAAGTGTAAAAAAAAAAAAAAAATTAACAAAAGTCAGAAATTAGATTAGGTTTTCTGGGCTAGGTCACCACCATTTTTGTATTTGTTATTTTAACTATGATGATACATGAGGCCTGAGCGCAACAATCTGGGCTTGAATGCAGAATTACAAGTGAGGACAACTAAGGGGGAGGAAAATTTTGACTTTTTTCTTTTGCCAGAGAGGTACTGGCTGGTGGTGATTCAAGTAGCTCTTACAGCACCTAAACCTGCTTCATTTATAGCTTAAGCATTCACAACTCTGAGCACTGTAAACCACCACAAGGGGGTGAAGCCTTGGATAGGAGGGGAGGAGCTATTTCAGAAATTCTTAAAATGTTATGGAGAATGTCATCCAGAACAGATGGTAGTCTACACTGAGAATCTAATAAACCACTGCTTTTACAATTGGGATTGAGGCGAATCAAACTAATAGCACCCTGACCAAAATGTACAGCTAGAATAAAAACCTAGTTGCTCAAGGGAATGCAGGTGGAATGCCTCAGACATTTCTCTTTGGCCGTTTGTATCATCAGATTTTTGCTTTGGGATTAAAGACGGACAGTCTCTGACATTGGTCAGCTTGCACTGTAACAGGTAAAAACGGAAATGGAAGAGTTATTATTCAGAGAGTACTAGTCACCATTCTCTCAGACAATGCCACTTCAGAAAACTTCCCCCATTTATGTATCCCAGCCCGTATGCCGCTCTCCCATGCTCCGTTGTGCTGGCTTGACTCCACTATAATGGTTAACTGAAGTGGTGATAGCAAGACAGTGCTTCTCATACCAATCAGAGGGAAAGTTTTCACCATTTCACTAAGTATTTCTGCTGTAGGGCATTTTTGTTTTTTTAAAGATACTGTTTATCAGGTCAAGAAAGTTTTACTTCTAGCTGCAGTATCATGGATATTGAACTTCTATCAAATATTTCTTTTGTCAGTAATCATTTGTCTGTTAATGTGGTTAACTACACTGATGGTAAAGCTTCTGGTTTTGACCAAACTGTTTAGCCATTCTTGTCACAGTAACTGTTAAAACCTACCTAACAACTGGCTACAGGGGATTTCGTTCTTCAGCCATTACTAGGCAGGTTTCCTCTGCAATTATGTCCTAATGTATGAAAAAACATAAACATGTAATTTTACATGTAGACTGGAACTTGGTTTTTATTCACTTATAACATTTCCATTGTAGGCATCACCATCTTCTCTGTTGGTGTGGCTTGGGCACCTCTGGATGACCTGAAAGACATGGCCTCGAAACCAAAGGAGTCACATGCTTTCTTCACGAGAGAGTTTACAGGATTAGAACCAATTGTTTCTGATGTCATCAGGGGCATTTGCAGAGATTTCTTAGAATCCCAGCAATAATGGTGACATTTTGACAACTGAAAGAAAAAGTGCAAAGGAAGATATTCGTAATACTGAAATACTATAGAGCATATTAGGATCAGATACAAAACTATTATATTATAGATGCCAATAGCGGTTTTAAGCAAATAAGCATTCATTTAAAGCTAGTAGTTTCTAATTACAATTTATACTTGTTGACTCTGTTGAGGCTTCATAATCGTGACCCTTAGAAACTCAGGAAAGGGGATATATCATGGATTAAAACCTTAAATTTGAGTTCTAACAGGCATATTAAATGTGTAGATTTGCAAATTCCATAGCTCAATAAAAGAATCTGATACTTAGCCCAAAAGCAACATTCTTATTATTCTGTATGAAATACAAAAGGAAAACGAGATGCTTAACAACTCTTTTAGTTCAAATATAAATTATCGTGACCCAAGTACATGTTCCCTTAAACCAGTAATATTTAGTATATTAAAAAGTTATAATTACAGATAAAATGGAAGGGAATTAGTTATCAAGCTTGTTTTGGTAGTGTATTTTCATAGTAAGGTATAACTGAAAGACAACACTGAACGAGATAGCAGGGTTACCTAGTATTTTTCTATTTATATCCTTTTTATGTGTATAGGCATATGCAACTTGTACTTTAAAAGGTCATCTGTGTGCTAAAAAAAAATGTTGGTAAATTTTTACTTACCTTTTATACTTCGTTTAGCTTTAAGCACATATTTCAAGTAGACTGTAGGAAAAATGTAGTTTGACTATATTTAAGCAATAAAATTCCTAGTCACTATTTAAGCTGCCTTACTTTTTCTAAGTGTCTCTCCATAGGGCACAGTAAAAATTCTACATTCAATAATTATGCAAAAAGACCAACTTTTTTTAAAAATCATGCAGTAAGATTATTTTTTCTTTCATTCAGTTATTGAATACTTGTGTTCTAGGCATTATGCACACCACTGCCAGGTTAAACAGTACAAGGTACTTTTGGTTACTTGGTTCAACAAAAACGTTTTATAATTAACACTGTATTTACTTAAACATGCTTGTGAAGTTGGTTCCTAAGAAAAGTGATCAGAATTCTGTTAATGTAATTATCATTACCTCACCAAGAACTTCCCCCTCAGGCACAGAGGTGATGATAGCATCCTATCTTCTCTAAAAAAGGACCTGCTCTGTTGTCCAGCTGCACACCCTCTCTCTCATCACACGCTCATTCAACTGAATGGTTTACAAGTGTTAATTGGCTGGAATATTATACATACTCTAGTTAATCTTTTGAGTCTAACCATTTCATAGTTTGTGTAAAAGGAATCAAAGGACTATGTGTTGAAGAGGCATAACTGAAATTGGCTTTGACACTAGATAAAAAATTTGATAGAAATGATAGTATGGGAAGACAATAAACTGCCCCCCGCCCTGCATAAAAAGTGGTAAATATGAATTTATGTAACACAAGATTTCCATATAATTGAAATGGGTTTAACAACATGATTTCTTCCAATATGTAAGGCACAGATTCTCAGCCAAGAGAACCACTCCTTAAAAATGTAAACTTAAGTGAAAACCTGGCCTCTAATCAGTAGCCCTTTTAAAAATGCTTTTTCTTTAATTCTATAAAGGACAAAGTTTTGAGGTACCAAGGTAACCAGGGAAGCTAATTGTGGGGCTTAAAGAGCAGCAAGCAGCACAAATGGGCACTTTATAAAGTTACTATCAATTTTTTTTATAAGCAAACATAATGAAGGTAGAGTTAATTGAAAAGTAGTAAAGAGTAAAAGGATTAAAAAAAAAATGTACTATTGCCCTGGCTGGTGTAGTTCAATGGACTGAGTGCCGGCCTGTGAACTGAAAGGTGGTTGGTTCAATTCCTAGTGAGGGCACATACCTGGGCTGTGAGCCAGGTCCCCAGTTGGGGGCATGCAAGAGACAACTGACCGATGTTCTCTCTTGCACCTTGATGTTTCTCTCTCTTTCCCACTCCCTAAAAATATATAAAGTCTTTTAAAAAAAATAAATAAATGTACTATAATCCAACTTTTGTGGGCACACCTACATTTCAAATACACCAGCCCACGTAACTTTAAATGTATTAAATGAGACATTCGTCTTCAGTGGGTAATTTACTTTGAAATACAAGAAAAGCACATGAATATGAAAAAGGCAAACAAATATTTTAAGTCAACATATTAAAGACTATATATATAAAAATATTCTTAAACTTTATGTATAAAGTACCATTTCCCGTAAGTCACAAATGGAAGCACACAAGAACATTATTTTTGTATTTTTAGTCCTTTCCCAAATGTTTAATATTGTAGAGAAAAATACAAGCAAAGTAGATAAGAGAAAAAATAAACATATATACTAATTTTTATTTATTTCAGTTTTAATACATTCCAAGAGAGGTGAATGTTTATGCATTGCAATGATCATCACATTTCAGTTAAAAAATTAACGCATCCATTTAGAATAACTGCCAGAAATGTTTGGAAAAGTTTGTTCTTAAATTAGTAAAAAATCACTATGTTGAACTTTCAGAAAGCTAAAAAACTAGTATTTTATGAAAAGTTCTGAGAAGTTTTAGTGGTTCACCAGTAACAACTAAAACTGCCACTTGGGTTTTTATGCTAGACGACAAAATTTTTCAATGTACACACAATGTTTTTTCCTGCACTAGGCATTCAAATAGAATTTTGCCACGTTAAGTTTTCTAATGTTAACTTCTAGTTCCATTTGCAATTTCCTTCAAAGAAAAAGGATGACACTATCTTCTTGAAGGAAAATGTTTTGAGATATTAATACTTAATATTATTTTTAAGGACAACCTTTAATGAATAATGCAGTTTATTTTCTGCTGAACTTTCTTGTGGAAACATGTATGGTTAGATAGGAGTGACAACACAACTAAATGAAATTCAGATTTAATAAAGTAACAGGATGATTAAGGAAATTATTTAAAACTTCATCTCTGGGTTTTTTCTTCTTCTTTTGGTCTTTTTGAATTATCAATAGAAGATTATCTGCAAGTGGGATGAAATAATTATTAACAAGGCATTGTTAATAGTGTTAATTGTTGTAATCTTATTAGAATATCAACAAATGGTACAAAGTTTAAAAGAACAGCCTAAAAACAAAGGACTCACTGAGGAAATCATCTCCATTTCCTAGTTTAACGATGGAGAATAAAGTATTGCACTTTATTATTCAACACAAAATAATGTAGCCAACAGTAACATACAGGTACACAATTTAATATTTATTATACGCATTTTATATACATTATTTTTCAACAGCTGTATTTTTGCTATGTGGTACAATCTTAAAAATTTGCTGATTCATAGTTTGTAAAACAAAAACCTTGTTACAAAACTCATCAAAACTCGCAAACTGATCAGAAAAGTTTCTTGGAAGACTAGAAAAAATATTTTATTGTCTTAATCATGCATTACACAAACAAAATATTTAGTTACACCATAAAATTAAGCACATCTGAAAAAATAAAACAGGGATAGCTAGTCCAAACACAGCAAATTTCTGTATCCTGATTCAACAATTTTGTATCCTATTTGTAATGCAAATAAAAAATTACTCCAAATATTTTTAAACAAGATAGTTTTGTTTGGAATCATGGTAAACCAAGATATGTATCTGAGGACAATCACCTTGGTATGTAACTTAAACTATAAAATACTCCATTTTTAGTCTATTTTAGACTATTCAAAGAGTTCCAAAATAGATATACAGGTTCCTTTAGCACATTAATAAAAGGATATAAAGACCAACAAAAAGTGAAATAAATAATAAGCTATTAGCAAGATGGATAATCCTTGATAAATAAACTTGTAAATACAGTAAGATGTACAAAATATCACATAGTGATAGGATGCCAAGATTAGTTAGTTTTTAAAATTTTTTTTTAGAGTTCACTTGGAGTACTAAACCCCACTGTTTCATTTTAATACACTTAATAGTCCTTGGTTTATGAAGACAATTATGTGATGAAGAAGGTGATTTAGCATCTTATGGAAGGACTAAGCTGAGCTGTATTAGGCAAAAGAAAGAGTGTGGTTACACGGCAGCGGGTCAGTGAGATCTCTGTTTTAGGGTTGTATAATGCAGAAAAACTCCAATACAATCTTGAGCACTGTTGTGACAGGCTAAATATATAAAAAGACTTATAAAAACTAGAATTTTATCCAAACATTTTGTGCAACTAATGCTAAAATATTTTAAGTTAAATTTTCTTTTTTTTTTTTAAAGCAAAATAAGTTTAAAAGGGAATCTGTGGCATTCAACTGATAAACAGAAGATCACTAGGAGATGAAAAAAAACTACTCTTGGAGCTCACTTCCCCCCAACTAGAGCACCACATTCCTAACCCTAAGGCAGAACACAGAGTCCAAAATAAAAGTCCTTTTGTAAGGTTAGACTCCACATTGGCTTAAAGATACCTAAAAAACAGACATATGCTCAGTTTGTATCCAGTACAGGCCACAAAAACTGGAGTCCCTTTTTTTTTTTTGTCCCACAAAATACAGTAATTACAATTAAATTAATGAACCTGACAGCAAGATATGTGATTTCCACCAACTTATGCCCGCCCTAAACAGACTTCACCAGGCAGATCGCATGTAGTGTCGTATCAGTAACCTTTTTTGATGGCAGTGATGCAGACCCTCTTTCTGTCCAAGCAAATCTGTTATGATGCGAGATTCTGTTGATTCACACAAACACTTTGGCAAGGGCATCAGCCCCTGCGCTAGCAATATATGCTTTTGATGGATGGAAAGCGACATCATATATTGATTCATCTAATTTCTTTCTGTGTGCCGTTATTTCCTGAACACATGTCTTGCTGTCCAAATTCCACAATCTAATAGAACAGTCATGGCCTGTAAAAGAACAAATAAAGTGTTATTAAGTAACAATTCTTTTACAAAGCTTGTGCACAGTACAGGAAGTTCAGACTTACTTCCAGACATCAAATAGATTCCATTAGGATCCACTGCTAGACTTGTAACAGCATCCAAATGAGCTACCATAGAATGGATCATTTTACCTAAATAAAACATAGTAACAGAGAAGGTTAATTTCCACAAATATTTACTCACTTGAAAGATACTTAACTTTAGGAACCATAAAAGAGAAAATCAGTATAATTTTTTTAATGTGGCAAAATATACCTAACGTAAAAGTACCATTTTAACCATCTGAGAGGGTATAGTTCAGAAGCTTTTAAAACATTCACAATGATGCGCAACCACCACCATCATCTAGTTCAGGACATCTTCATCACTGCAAAAGGAAGCCCTGTACCCATTAAGCAGTCACTCACCATTCCTCTCCTCCCCCAAGTCCCTGGGAACCACTGATCTGCTTGCTTGCTTTATAGCTGGGACTATTTTGGATACCTCATACAAATAAAATCATACAAAAACATGCAGCTTTTTGTGTCTGCCTTCTGTTACTCTGTATGTTCTCCAGGTTCATCCACTATAAGGGAATTTTAATTCTAATGCAGAACTTTCCCACTACTTTTAATAAAGACATCTGTGTTACATGAATTTGACAGTGTCTGCCAGAAGAAAACAATGATTATAGGGTTGCACCAAAGACTTAAGATTACATGAACTGGAATTAAAATGAAAACAATCTCATTAAGAGATGTAAAGATTATTTTATATACATGCTTAATGATAAATTGTCAGAGAATACATTCCTACATAATTCTAGTATCATTAAATTCATTTATCCTTTGAAATGTCAATCATATTACATATTAGAAAAAGGAATAGGAGAGGATGGGAGCACATCATTATTCCAGATTTCTTCAGAACGTAACAAAAACATTCTGGAAAATGTAATTTGCTGAATATCTTCACTGAATATCTGGCAAGTAAACAGGATTCAAGAGCAAGTTGTAATTAAAGACCAGTTGTAAACACAAAGTTGTGCTGCACAAATACTCTGGGGGCAAGGGCATCAGCCTCTGCATTGGCAATGTATGCTTTTGATGGATGGAAAGCAAGAGCATGTATGATTTATTCAAGGAGGGAGTAAAATAGCAAATACTGACAATTTAAACTTCCTCCCCTATCATTCGGCAATGCCTATTATATAGGAAGCCAATGCCTGGTCTTCCTAATGAGACATTGGGGGACTTCTCCAGAATTCTAGTTACAATCGTTTGCTATGCTTCCAAGTCCCCTGATGACATTCCACACTGGAAAATGAAATAGATCTACTTTTGTTATTTGTCATGGGGCTACAGCTGTTGACTAAGTACAAAACCACTACATAATCAAGTGAAAGTTTCTCTGAAAAGATAGAAAAAGTCCTATCACTTTGTGGCAATACTAAACACTTATCAGTTGAAGGCAACATTAAAGCTTCTCACCATTTCAAATTCCATTTGTCTGTTCCTCATTAATACTAAAATTAACAGAATAATTTGAGATTCTTCTCTGCTACACTGAGGAACAAAACTATCACTCAACATACTATCTTCAATTGCTTAGTCCAACATAATTCATCTATCAATTCTAGAATCCATTCCACTCAGTATTCCTAGTCAAAAACAAAAGAAAACAAAGAAAAAACCATCCTTAATATAAAATGGTTGGCCCCCCAGGACAATAATCTCAAAACACTGGGGGTTTAGTAACATGCATTATTAGCTTCATTAATTGTCAAATCTATGATGGTAACTCTTAATTCACAATCTAGCTGATTCCTCTCCTAAGAATGACCCTGTATGCCCTAAAATTAAGATGTCTTGAACCAAAGAATTCTTTCACCCAAATAGCAGATCAACCCATTTATTTAAGGGTGCAGTAATTTTCCAAGTTTAACTCCAACTCTCCTGCCTGTGCATTAAACTAACATTTACTGATATGTTAAGTCAATTTAGAGTCAACTCTTTTTTCCCATAAAGTCACTTCAAACTGTGAGTGATCCCCTCCCCCTTCAGATTGAGTCATGTGCAGAGAGGTGATATGCTGAACCAAGTTAGCTGTTTGGCTTCCACTGGTAACCACACAAGTCATAAAGCTTCTGACCCCTCCCCAGAACTAAGACCTCTCCTTCACCAACCCTTACTTGTAATTCCTCACATTTAACCAATTTCACTTTGGGCCCATGCCTCTGCTACCAACATTCTTCCTCCGCCCAGACTAACTCTTTCCTCCTTTAACAGTCATCTGTTCTCCCTTCCCTGGCCCCTTAAGCCTTTTTACTTGGGCAATGAGCATTGTAGGCATCTATGAAACAGAGAAGAAACATACTGATATAAAACATGTAGACTCTAGAAGCAAACTGCACGGGTTTGAATCTCTGCCCTGCAATTTTTCCTCTGTTGTGTAACACTGCACAAATCATTTAACTTCTTGTAAGCCTTTTATTTCAACCATAAAATGGAAATAGTATTACGTATACCTTAGAGTTATTAGTAGTGCAAACATGTTAATACATGTATGTCATCAAATAGAACATTGTCTCACTTACAGTAATGTGTAATTAAGCTCCAAGAAGACAGGATATTTTGTTTTGTTTACCAAGCACTGAGAACTGTGCAAAGAATATGACAGAGTCAATAAATTCTGATGAATGAGTTCACAGCCATTTCAGGACCTCCTTCTTCCAACTTCTTCACATTCCTTCCTTCCTTGTACTACACCTTCTCTCAGACTCACTCACTAGCTAGGTGTCTGAGCACAGCATATGTAAGTAATATGTGCCCCTGCCAACATTTTAAAAACTGTGAGTCCCAAAGATCTCTCTAAAACAAGTAGTAGAAATTATAAATTTTAAAATATTTAAAGTCAAGGATCTACCATATAATATGACTTAAATAATCTGTCTAAATCAGTTTTGTAAGCCTCTGCTCAAATATTTTAAGTGGTTTTCACAGTGCATAGCAGAAACAAAAATTGATTATTCTTAACCTGGCTCTGAAAAGTTCTCAAGTTTTCCTTTTCCAAACTTACCTCTTTGGCTTTTCCTGTAAAAAACTTCTGTGTTAACCGAAGTACCTATCACTAAGCCTCTCATCAAAATATGCCCTTACCTGAAATTTCCTACCACCTTCTTCACGTAAAAAAACACATCTTACCATTTCTTCAAGGCAAAGCTCAAACCCTCACTCTATGAAGACTCCTGTATCCAGCAGGGTTCATGTTACTACATGTATGTATAAATGTACACACACACACTCTTTCACTACATGTATGTGTAAATGTTCTCTCTCTCTCTCTCTCTCTCTCTCCCTCCCTCCCTCCCTTTCCCGAAACAGTAGGTCCCCGGAAAGCAGAAACGACATCTTATACATGACAATAGCCAGTGCAGTACAGAATATAAAACGCTCAAATACATTTCTGTTGTTAAAATCTAAATATTTATTGAACTCACTCCTATTATTGATTTGTTTCAGATAAAAAAAATTCAATAAATATACAAATCCATTTGATAGAATAATATTCTGTTAACAATTTAGCCAATCAGCAGTACCAGTTACGGGGATATTCTTATTTGTCACATCTAAATGAATTAACAATTTTCAAAGGATTTCTTTGTGTGAAGGAATTCAGTGTGTCTGTGCCCGTGTGTGAGAGTCAAAGAGAGAGAGGTTGATTTAAAAAGAATTTTAAATTGTTTGGAGGCCAATGCTTCAATTTCTTCACACTAAAGATAAGGTACTAGACTACTCAACAGAAATAACAGAATAAACTGGTAGAATTTATCTGAAAGACTATATAGGCTCCTTATTTGTTAAGTAAAATTTTATTACCACTTGATTTCTGCCAGCAACAAAGCTATAGAGACTCCAGTTTTGCTTTTAATACAACTACTAAAATTCCTGAACCTTCCCTTACAAATGCAAATCTTTAATAATTAATAAAAAAGGAATTTTAAGAAATACAGTAAAGGAAATGATCTCTGTTCTTGCAGCAGAGGGAGATCTTTAGGCTTCATAAAATGTTAGAAGAATTGTTGATAAGGTATTAAATTGAGAACATCCACATGAAAATGAATCATCTTTTCTGCGAAATCTATTGTCCTGTGATTATCCATTCCCTTCTCAACCATTCTACTGAGTTAAAAGGAATCTGTCCATGGAAAGTGTTATTTGAACAAAGGAATTTATATTAAGATTCTAAAGACTAAAAATTATGACCATGTCCTATATAACCTTCAAAGAGAAATCTGTCTTCTGGATTACTATCTTGCTTGATAATTTGTTGCCCTGCAATAATGCTGCAATTAACATTTAAGTATCTTGAAGTCCTTCCATATCCCTGATTTTAGCTTCCCTTCAAAGAAGCCTCTCCAGCTGTCAGACCTTCCCTGAAAGAAAGCAAACTATTTTATGTAGTACGTAGGTGATGACAGATGAGATGGAGGTCCTTAAAGAAACCAAACCCTATGGTGGCATACATTTGATTTGACTTCTAAATAAACGGTAAGTTTTCTGACAACAAGAAATACAGGGAACATGACAATAAAACTATTTCCACCATTTCATCCACTGAGAAATAATTTTTTAAAAAAGATTTTATTTATATACTTTCAGAGAGAGGGGAAGGGAGGGAGAAAGAGAGGGAGAATAAACATCAGTGTGTGAGAGGTATCAGTTGCCTCTCATAAGGCCCCCAACCAGGGACCTGGCATGCAACCCAGGCACATGCCCTGACCGGGAGTCAAACCAGCAACCTTTCCATTCATAGGCCAGTGCTCAATCCACTGAGCCACACCAGCCTGGACAGAAATAATTTTAAGAACATATTTGAAATGTCAAACACCAGAATGACATCTCTCCTATCCTAAATCGCAAAATATGAAGGGAAGAATTTCAACTGGAAGGATTTATATTTAACTGATATGACATGAAAAATCATAATAGGCAGGCAAGGTATTATTTATATACTTAAGGATAAAACAACATATGAGTGTACTACATAACTAAAGCAAAAATATGGGTTAAAATGGTTTAACTTGGCAATTTTTGAAGCCAAAAATGTCAATATATCTCACATAAAAGAATACCGCTTTTGATCACCTTAAATTTATACAATTATTAATATGAAAAGAAAATAAGACAACCTACTTACCCGTTTTATTGTCAAAAAATTTGATGTGTCTATCTTCATGAGCAGTTATTGTAACAGGAAGTGTGGGATGACTTACTACTCTATTAATGTGATTATTGGATTGTAAATCTGAAAAATAAAGGAAGAAAATACACTACAATTCAAACCTTCAATTAGAAGCTAGGTGATGACTTTTTAAGTTCTTACCAAAAAAAAAAAAAAGCTTTGGTTAAAACAAAATCACGCTAAAAACTAAAGCTACGACTCTGAGATAGAATTTCTTAAAAAATAAATGTTTAAGCTATTATGTCATATAATGCAGACAGTACTACTCTCAATTTTAGAAAAAATTTTTAAGTATTTTAACGTAGGTGGTTTAGAATTCTTACAAAACTTACTTTTAATAAACAGCCCACAAAAGAGTTTATAAGCATTTAAGGAAAATTCATAAGTGATAAATAGATATTTGAAAGGAGCAATCCCTATACTGACAAAAACAAAGAACCAGAATTAATGTCCTTAGGAATGAGACCTTTTCCTGAGCAAGGAGGGAGAACAGAGAAGAATCAAAACAATGGAAAAACATCATTAACATTATCAGACTTTGAAGTAAATCAATCATTCCACACATATACAATAACTCTTAACTGAATATAAACACACTGCAAAAAAAGCCCCCATGTATGTATTTGTGTGTGTGTGTGTGTGTGTGTGTAATTACATGTTAAAGAGGGAGAGAGGAAATAAGGTTGAAAAGACACTGAGAAATACACTTCTTTCAGTATTTAAATGTTTTGCATAATTAAAAAATTATTTTTTAAAAAGTGATTACAAAAAAATCAAAAGTAAAATTAAAGAAATGAACTTTATATATCCAACGGGTGGTATAGGCACAAATATATGAATTTATTCAAGTGACTTTAAAGCACAGTAATTAGACTGCCCATCCCTAGTGGAAATATTGTAAGTATAAAATATTTTCAGTAATCAAACTACTAGCAGTGGTTTTGTTATTACTACTTTTTGAGACAACTGTACATGTACTGTGGGATAAATAAAATGAGATTATGACGACTTTGCTGAGAACCAAGAATTATGGTATAGTTAAAGTGAGGTAAGGACATAAAAACCATGAGATAAATATGAATTTGAATTAGAAGTATTTATATGAATTTACCAATGTTTTTCTTTTAAAAAAATGTATATGTAGCTCTGTCCACTGAAGAAGCCTAAACCAACGACCAATTCAAGAGCCATGAAAACCATGAGGAGCAATCCAATAGTCTAGTACCTAGTCTATAGTCTCTAAATGCCATTTTCCACTAAAAGAAACCATGGCTCCTTAGAGAAATGGCTGATTGCAGGTGTGGGGCACAAATGAACGAAATGAACCTAGAAATCTATCAATGATGACCAGGGTCATGTCAAAAGGATTCAGGAGCCAACTTGAATAAACTCCCACTGGCCAAAAACCAAACAATCTGAGTAGCAATAAAGAGAATACCTGCCATGGATTGAAATACATCAAAAACATTTATGTCCAAGAGAGATTATGATAAAAACAAACACCACCCGAGAGATTCACTGATCATCTGAGACAGCCAGGGAACACCTCATTATTATTATAATGAAAACTGGTAAATAAAGAGAGGAAAAACAGTAATTTATATTGACTTTTCCTTTATAATCTAACTACAAAATAACCAAATTACTGATGAGGGTGTTTCTTTTTATAAGCATTCTAGCTTAAAAAAAAGAGAAGTAATGATAGATTTAGAAAATCATTTTTAAACAATTAATGAGTTAATGGACCCAGGTAATGATCATCAAGACTGAAAAGAAAGAGATATACAAACAGACAATATTTACTTCTGATAAAAATTCACAATATAATATGAAATAGTCTTGCCAAAAACATTAAAAAACTTTACAATGAAGACAAACAAAAACAACGACCCTGAATTTGAATAAGCTCTAGATCTATAACCTACAGGAAAATGATCAGAGGAGCTGCTTAATGATAGCTCAAGGATGCAACTAGAAAAATGCAGACTGTGAAAAACTCTACAGGCAAACTACACAATTTCTTAAATTAAAAAAATGCATGTACAATATAGGAAATATAGTTACTAATGTTGTAATAACTATGTATGGTGCCAGGTGGGTACTGGAAATATTGGGGGGGGGGAGAACTCTGAAAAGTACAATTGTCTAACCATTATGCTATACATCTGAAACTAATACAAAATAGTATTAAATGTAAACTGTAATTAAAAAAAAAAATCAAGGAGAAGCAGGGGAAGTGACTGACAGCGGGGCGAAAGCCTAGCAAGTGGCATAGTTCCCTCTCTGACTCCACCCCACATACCAATGCCACAACACAGCAAAGTAGGTTGCCCCACCCTGGTGAATTCCTAAGGCTCTGCCTCTTACAATGTAACAGGTGCACTGAGACAAAAAAAAAAAAAAAAAAAAAAATTGGCCCAAATTAAAGAATAGATCAAAACTCTAGAAAAACAACCAAGAGACAAGGAGAAAGCCAACCTATGAGGTGCGGAGTCCAATACCCTAGTAATCAGGATGCTCACAGAAATGATTGAGTATGGATGCAAAAATAAAGGAAGAAGTGAAGCCTACATAAAGTGAAATAAATAAAAATATACAGAGAACCAACAGTGAGGGGAAGGAAGCCAGGACTCAAATCAACAATTTGGAATAAAAGGAAGAAATAAACATTCAACCGGAACAAAACAAAGAAACAAGAATTCAAAAACACGAGGAGAGGCTTAGGAGCCTCTGGGACAACTTTAAATGTTCCAACATCCAAATCATAGGGGTGCCAGAAGGAGAAGAGGAAGAACAGTAAGTCGAAAACTTATTTGAAAAAATAATGAGAGAAAACTTCCCCATATGGCAAAGGAAATAGGCATATAAGTCCAGGAAGCACAGAAAGTCCCAAACAAGTTGGACCCAAAGAGGAAAACACCAAGACACATCATAATTAAAATGCCAAAGATCAAAGATAAGAAGAGAATCTTAAAAGCAGCAAAAGGAAACAGTTACTTACAAAGGAGTTCCCATATGACTATCAGCTGATTTCTCAAAAGAAACCTTGCAGGCAAGAAGGGGGCTGGCAAGAAGTATTCAAAGTCATGAAAAGCAAGAACCTACATCCAAGATTACTCTATCCAGCAAAGCTATCATTTAGAATGGAAGGGCATATGTAGTGCTTCCCAGATAACGTAAAACTAAAGGAGTTCATCATCACCAAGCCCTTATTATATGAAATATTAAAGGGACTGACTTCTCTAAGAAAAAGAAGATCAAAAGTATGAACAGTAAAATGACAACAAACTCACAACTATCAACAACTGAATCTAAAAATCAACAACTAAGCAAACAACTAGAACAGGAACAGAATCACAGAAATGGAGACCACATGGAAGGTTATCAGTGAGGAGGGGGCGGGGGGAGGATGGGGGCAAAGGTACAGGGAATAAGCAGCATAATTGATAGGTACAAAAATAGAGGGGGATGTTTAGTATGGGAAATGGAGAAACCAAAGAACTTACACGTATGACCAATGGACATGAACTAAGTGGGGAGAATGCTGGAGGGAATGTGGGTACTGGGCAGGGGGGGATAAGATGGGGAAAAAAATTGGGACAACTGTTAATAACATAATCAATAAAATATTCTTTAAAAATAAACAAACAGACAAACATTTTAAAATGCAAGAGAAATAAGAGATGGAGAGGAAACCTACAAAAGAGATGTGACAGACCTATCAGCTAATCACAATGCAGGGCCTTATTTGGACTCCTATTCAAATACAGTGCAAAACACAAACTACATCCTATACTTACAACATTGGCCATATATACATAATTATTGAAGCTGCACTTTTTTTTACCACTTCCATATGTATTTTCATTAAAAATTTAAAATCATTTCCCCTGCTTTCACCTTTATATTGCTCCACTCACTCCTGTGTCCCCATATACCCACCCAGCTTTTAAGCATAATATGAGGGAATAGTAGAAATAATGTAAATAAGTTCTCTTGTAACACTTTTAACTATTTTTCCATCTTAAATTCAGATAATCAAAATGTGAAAATTAAAACATCACCCTCTGTTTTATAATAATCCTTTCTAAGGTTTCAAAGAAACCCATGAAAACTTACCAGAATCTATCTGTGATGAAAGCATCACCAGTGACTGTGATGTTTCTAAATCATAAATTACTGTACTACCAGTGTTGAAAGAGGTCACCATATGAGCTGGATCACAGCCTATAAAGTCAACCGATGTAGGTATTCCATGCTCTGAAAGGAGCCCAAAGAGATACAGTGTAAATACAACAATTTAGAAATCTCTGAGATTTTCTGATTTGAAAAAAAGGAATTCAAATATTCTTTTAAAAAAAGGTTCATTAATTTTAGAAAGGGAGAGAAGGTGGGAGAGAAGCATTGATTTGTTGTTCCACTTATTTATGTATTCACTGGTTGATTCTTGTATGTGGCCTCACTGGGGACAGAACCAGCAACTGTGGTGTATTGGGATGATGCTTTAATCACCTGAGCTATCTGGCCAGGGCTAATATTCTTGAAATGATGTTAATAATGAGGGGGGGGGAAAAAAGCAACTGTTTTAGGATGGCATAATAGGTAACCTTCCCTCAATTATTTAAAAACTTTTTATAACATTCTATTTAACATTATAAGAAAGATAGCTAGAGGGCTCTTAAAATGAGAGTAGATATGTGAAAAAGTTACTTTCTATGCATTTTCTTTTAAAAGAGAAAAAAATCCTGGATGAGTCTTTTGGTCTACTTGCAAATTATATTTCTTACTGTAAAATGACAAATTAGCATTCTCAGATCATTATCTTGGGAGATTATTTACCTGTCTGAGCCCATAAGCCTTATCAAGTAGCTAATACAAGTCAAATTTTCAGATCTGTAAAAATGAAATGTGGACTTTAGAATTCACTCATGCAGTACTATCCCTTACGTGGCCTGAGAAGCAATCTCTCTCTTTAACATAGTAAATGCAAATGGACAGATCAATGCACAAATAGGTGAAATCTGGAGCAATTAATTACCCTGATAAACAAATATTAGAAACAAATATCTATATGCATTTTTACCTCACATCTTGGGTAATTAAAAAATTAGTAGAATCATTAAGGAAGCTAAAAGACCAAACAAAATTAAGCATATACTATTCCTTAAAATGTTTTAAAACCAAACATATGTTTTAATAGAAATGTAAAATCTGATTTTTTACAACTAACTTAAAAAATGAATTAGAAAATAAGACCAACACAAGTATACAAATCTATGTAATATATTGTAACTGGCACAAGGTAACACTGTTTTAAAGCCTTCTTTGACAGGAAAAGATCAGAAATAATGCATGTAACTTAGTTTGTACTTCCCAGGTAATGGTGCTATTTCAATGATTACAGCTAGATTTCTCAACCAGTGTGCTTTACACAGTGTGCTCGTACATGGTTTACAGGTACACTTGAGACTGCTGACCCCTTTGATTTATGTGGGCAGCCACCTGGAGCAAGCAGAGAGCCTTGTGTTGTCCCTATTAGTAGCCTCACTTGTCTATTCCACTGTTACATAAAAATAGTTTTATTTTTTCAATAGGACATGTCCTGAAAAAGGTAAAAAGGAGCACTGAACTATAGGTTACACTTGCAAAGCATCCTTCTTGTTTATAAAAAAAAAAAAGGACTAAGTATAAAGATGATCACAAGCTTTAAAATCTTTCAATGTATCTCATGGAGCAGCAAAGAAATGGTAAATCAACTGTTTGTCCTTTTTATCTTCCAAATTTTAAATATTTAGCTTTTTTCATAGAGGCAAAATTTACTTACCCTTCTCTCCATTGTAAGTGCAAATACATGGCATTTTTTCTTGTGGATTCCATAACCTAACAGTGCCATCTGCTGAACAAGACAGTAATTGATTTTTTATGCCACTATAAGCAAGACCCCAGACAGCATCTGTGTGAGCAATTAAAGTGCCAGCAAGAACATTTGGCTCTGGGAAGAAAAAACAACAAGCAAAAATTAGCTAAAATAACTTTAAGTATGTAAGTATAACTTACAATATAATTAAGTATAAGACTACGCATATCAGCTACAAGAAGATAAACCAACGTGAATACAATAGCCATCTCTCTCTTCTAAGTTGTGAAGTTATAGGTCATTTTTATCCCCCACCCCAATACATTCTTGGATTTTTTGCAATTTTCTGTAAGGAACATACTTTTCTTTAAAAATGGCTGTATTGAGCTATACTTTCCATTCCATACAATGGCCAATTTAAAGTGTACAATTCAGTGTTTGTATAGTATGTTCAGTGTTACATATAGTGTAGTATGTATAGTATGTATAGAGTTGTGCCATCATCACCATGCCAATTCTAGGACACTTTCATCACTCATTAGCCATTTCCTCCCAATTCTTCTCTGCCTTTCCACAGCTCTAGACAACCACTAATCTACTTCATTTCCACCAATTTGCCTATTCTGGACATTTCCTACAAGTAGCCTTTTGTGACTGACTTTTTTTCACTTAGCACACTATTTCCAAGGTTCATCCATGTTGTAGCATGTATCAGTACTTAATTTCTTTTAATTGTTGAATACTATTCCCTGGTATGGATATACTACATTTTATTTATCTATTCATCTCCTGATGGACATGGTGGCTAATAACATTGTGCATCATTTATCCTACAATTCTTTTCGCTAGTAATTTATTACCTCTGCAATTCTCAGCGTTCCCAACCTTTCTTCATGAATGATTATGTTTCATACTTCACTGGGAAAATATAGCACTGAAATACGAAGTTGTTCCCATCTTCCTGCCTCCCAATCTATAAATCTACTAGTGTCTAAAACCATCTTTTCTGTGCAGATACAAGTAAGGAATTGTCCTTTGTATCAGAAGCTAATTATACTAGGTGTATTCTGGATTCCATTCAACATGCTAACTTGCTTTCATGTTTAATGTTTCCTTACTACAAAAATTCCCCTACCCCTTGGGATCCACAAGCAAACAAATATGTTTCAGCATCTCTCAACCTAAACAAAAACCTTCATTAACCTTACACTACCCTTCTTCGAAAGAGTAGAAGAGCATAAAGTCAGTATGTTTTTACCTCTTATTTACTCTCCAAATCACTCTAATATGGCTTCTGATACCATCACCACAACAACCCTTGCTAAAATCACCATGATAAACTCTTCTACCACATTTTATAAATTTTTTCTTTGTTTTTTCATTACATTGCTTTTCGTCCACAGAACGGATGCCTTGAAAGGCTACCCAGAGGTTTCGCACCCTCTGGTTTTAGCCACAGCATCTATCTCTGTCTGACCAAGATGTGGGTGACCTATTTTGTCGCTTATAAAGAGGAACCTTTCTAAAAAAGCCTCATATTATTAGACCTCTAAGCAACACTTGAAAGTGGAAACTGCTTCCATCTTCTCAAAATGGTTTCTTCTTTTGGTATGTTGCCATTAATTCCATACTCTCCCGCACTTCCTCTAACTTCAAAGGCTAGTACTTCCTCAGTTTCCTTTGTTGGCTCTCTTGCTAGCCACTCTCCCAGAGTTCTTTTTCTTACCCTATACAACACTCTCTCTCTGTGTTATACCATCCATTCTCACATCTTAGTATTAACATTAGCTATATGATGTTGCCATTTCTTAACATGTCTAAAAAACAAATTCTTGATCTTTCTTTTATTTTCTCATAGCTGTTCTGTACCCATTTCAATAAATGCTACCATACCATAATTTAATTGCTCATATCAAAAAGCAGTGATGAAAATGTTCTGAATTATAGTTGCATAATCCTGTGAATACAGTAAAAATTACTGAACTGTATACTTCAAAAGGGTAAATTTTATTAAACATGAATTATATCTCCATAAAGCTGTTAAAAAATAAACAAAATCAAAGAGTCACTGATCTATTACTTCACTCTCTCAATCCATTTATCAATAGATTCTGTCTATTCTATCCTACCTCCCCAATATGTCTTAAATCCATTTCTGTCCAACTTCTCTGCTACCAATTGCTGTACCATCAGTTTAGTGTTGGCAACATCATCTGCCATCTATTCTACTGGTCCACTACATTATAACTTTACACAACAACATTAAATTTGTATTCCTCTATCCACTCTTCCCCCTATGTACTTTCAACAGCCAGAGTCATCTTTTTAAACCCTACACTTACAGGTCATTTCCTGGCTTAAAACTCTTTGTAGTAGTTCCCCCTTATCCACGAGGGATATGTTCCAAGACCCCCGGTGGGTGCCTGAAACCACAGATAGTACTAAACCCTATATATACTGTATTCCTATACACACATACGTATGATAAAGTTTAATTTATAAATTAGGCACATTAAGAGACTAACAATCACTAATAGTGTAGAACACTTATCACAATATATTATAATAAGTGATGTGATGTAGCCTCTCCCAGCAAACTAGCACAAATTTATTTATTTATTTATTTATTTATTTATTTATTTATTTAGGCTGCAGGCTTCATAAGCAAGAAACCTTACATAAAAGGCTTGTTTTGAGTGGCAGCAAGAGTAGAATCTTAATTGTATATAGAGGCTTTAACTGAGTTCAGTAATGTATTCAGTCCAGCTGGTCTCAACAATACCTTACTCTTTTAAAGCTTTATCCTTAAAAATGAGCCTTATTGCAGGAACAAACAGTAGGCAAAACATACAGTCTAAGGACGGGGGGGGGGGGGGCCTACAATTTCCTGGGTCCAGCTCAAGCACACATTTTTTTCCTTCTTCACAATTTCATGGATAGATTTGTTCTTACTACAGATCTTACTACCTCAGCATATGATTATTTTTTCTTTCCCTAAGTGAAAAGGATAAACATTTTTTATCTAATAGGTGTATCCAAATTGCCAGCATCAACACTCTTGTGCTTCAGGGACAATATTAACTAAAATAAGGGTTACTGGAATATTAGCACTACCATCCCGAGACAGGGACCTGATAACCATGGAGGATGCCAAGTGACTCATGGGCAGGTAGTATATACAGTGTGGATATGCTGAACAATAACCAAAAAAAGATTCACATCTAGGGCAGGATAGAGTAGGATGTGCTCAATTTTATCATGCTACTCAGAAAAGAATGCAATGTAAAACTTATGAACCATTTATTTCAGAAACTTTCCATTTAACATTTATGGACTATGGCTGAACTTGAGTAACTGAAGCCATGGAGAGCCAAAATGCAGATAAGGAGGGACTACTATATTAGAATTTCCATTTTATCCTTTAGTTTTTGGTTTTAATGGCACTATTTTAGACTATACCTAAAGAAGGTTCTGCCTGTTGCTCTCTCTCATGGTACTGTATCTTCATAGCACTCATCAGTTTATAACCATAGACTTCATCCCTTTGCTTATCTGTTTCATGCTGTTTTTTTCAAGACTCATTCTTATTTCTTGATCTACTCAACACTAAACCGGGCAAAGTTAGGCACCAAGTGTATGTTAAATAAAAACAACAAAGAGTGCAAGTTCTTTTTAAATGAACCAGCCATTAAGTAGACCACTATTTAACCATCTCATAATAATACACATTCATTTTGTTTTAATTTTTTATAATTACAAACAATGACCTTTAAATATATTTGAATGCATGTATAGATATTCTGAAAGTGGCATTTGTAAGTTTTTTTTAAATAAAGGATTTTTTTTGTCCTTTAGAACTTGTATATAGAGGCCTTAACTGTCCCTATTTGTTTCTATTGTCTTTTGTTAAATAAGTTTAAACTACATAAACTATTTCTTAAGTTTAAAAGACTGTTCCTTGTATTAAATTTATTCTATTTTTCTTTTTGTAACCTTTATAAAGGTTTATAAAACTTTATAAAAGTTTGTAAAAAACTTAATAATAGTTTTTTTAAAACATTTTTGGACACCACCGAGGAAAAAAACAATTCACAGGCTTAAATAATCATAGTATATTTCTTAATTTTTCTCTTTAATACAACACATTACTAGCAAATGAAGTAAGCAAGGAGACTAATACATGATTAAACAAGCTTACAGCTGAGGTATTTTACCTTTGCCAGCTCCATTCACTTAAAAAAAAAAGTTTTAAATTTTTTACTTACCATATGTATCATATGGATCCACATTAGGGCTAGGCATATTCCACCACTGGATGGTTGCATCAATACCACCACTAAAACACTGTTCTCCATTAGAACTAATAGCTAATGATAGAACAGGACCACTATGACAGGAAAAAAGAAAAAAATTACTTATAAAGCCTAAAAAGAAATTCACATCTACATCCCCCAATCTCTGAATTTGTGTGGTATCTAAAAACTGTTTAAGGTAAAAGTACTCTTGAATAGTACTGATTATATTCTCTTCATACAATTATTGATCAAATATAATATTCTTTTCTAATATAAAGCAAACATTATTACAGTTTTACAATATTTGTGGATTGATAAATAATAGTTAACTGCCCTGGTGGGTATGGCTCAGTTGGTTGGAGCATCATCCCACGAACCGAAAGATCATGGGCTCTACTCCTGGTCAGGACACAGGCCTGGGTTGTGGGTTTGGTCCACAGTCGGGGTGCAAACGGGAGGCAACCAATCTGTGCTTCTCTCTTACATTGATGTTTCTCTTCTTCTTTCTTTCTCCCTCCCTTCCCCTCTTTCTAAAGCAATGAAAAATGTCCTCGGGTGAGAATTTGGGGGAAAAAAAAAAGTTAGTAACTAACCTTGTTAATTAAGTGCTAATTCAATAAAACTTACTTGTGGGCCCTAAATGTGTAGATAGGCTCTACATCTAAAGAGGCACTCCTAAAAGAGAGGGAAAAAAAGAGTCGGGGGAAAAGAAGGCAGTTAAATAATCATAAACCACTGATTGATATTCAAGAGGCATTAGTTAAGATCAACTGAGTACATGACCATACAGGACCATAAAGAGGAATCATTATTTATAATTATTGGCAAATTTGGAAGAAAAAAAAACACAGGCTGACATTAAAACACTTACTTTTTGGCAGGAACTGTTTTTTGCAAGTTCCAAAGTTTCAGAGTATGGTCCTCAGAGGCAGTAACCAGCACAGGTTCTACAGGATGAAAAGCTAATGCCCGAACTCCATCAAAATGGCTACGTAGTGTATACTTGGGGTTCCATGTCTTTCGAAAGGCATCTTTATTGGCAGGCAACTAAAAAGAAAGAGCACAATATTTAGTGGTAAAAGTAATAAATTGATAAGCATGTGGAATTTTTGTTTGTTTTGGTGTGTTTAAAATATACATTTAAAAAGGCTTTGCTAAAAAGTCCAGTATAAATTTAATGTACCTTAAAAACTTTGTAATCCTCATCATTTAATAAAAACTAAGAATAATAATTTCATTAGCTTTCACATACCTAGATCAAATGGAGTCCCTTAATCTGTTTTACCTAATTATTAAGCTAAACCCCAAAGTCCTATTAAATGTCAGAAGAGAACAGCAAAAAAAAACAAAAACAAAAAAACCCCCCCTACTATGCTGCATTACTTTACATGAAAACATTAAAAATTATATATTACTATAAAAAATCCAAGGGCTCAATATTAATAGTACAGTTGTCATTTAGAAAATTAGCAAGGTGAAGCTGTTAAAGGCAGCAAGTTAAGGTACTTTCCAAAAGTATTAACTAAAGACGCTTTAAGAATATTTTAATTATTATTGTTGATATCAGTTAAGAAGTTAATCTTTTTATCATTATTTCTCCATCTGTGAAAATAGGCTGTGAAATCTCTTCCAAAGTAGTCCTTAAGTCATTCCTTATATACTTTTAAAATATTAATAAGAATAATCCAGCCCACTGAGGCTGATGTCTCTAAAAAGCATGCTAACATAAGAATGAATTCGTTAAAAAAAGGAAAAAATTTATTGAAAAACTACTAATTCATTAATGCAAAATCTAAACAAGTATAGTTAACTCTCAATTGAATGTTTGTTGTTTATAAAAACTTAATCCAAAACGAGTTTCACCCTCTAACACTGTCCTTCTCATCTCCCTTCCATCCTCTCCTCATCCCTCAAAAGAAGGACTAAAAATCAGGAAATGGCAACAAACTAACTTTAATGTTATCCTTAAAAAAATTCAAGTTAAAAAATAAGACATGTTTTTTAAAGAAGTTCCTGAAGGCAAATAGGTGATTCAAGTTATCTAATGTTCTCTTGTTAACACCAAAATATGGTTTAAATTGAGTAAATAATTGAGAGTTGACTACTCAAGGTAGATATTTACTGACCAGTATTTTAAGGTAATCAATCATCCCAAACTCCTAACTAATCCACCACAGTACCTAAGAAAAATTTAAATACTGCAAAGAAACTAGTTGTAAAAGAAAACTACATGTCACTTCAAATCAAGATACTGACACACTTAAACTTATCTTTTTTCCATGCACCTTGACATTAATTCTGTTTTATAAGTGTTTCCAAAAATAAGGAGCCTTCTATTAAATCATTAAAAAATTAAAAATAAAACTGCACTTACATCATAACTATAGTCTGCATCATTTGTTACCGTCAAGTCTGCAAGGTCTCCAAGGCCCAGTACACTTAACAAAACATCATCAGAACCCATAATAAATGACTTGCCTCCTCCAGATGGAAACGTTATTGGTTCAGCTATAAAGAACAAAACCGCTTCTTAAATGCTGAAAAATCATACAGTACAAGACAATATTGTGGGGGAAATGTAAGCACTTAACAGTTACAATACAGTAATATAATTTTTATTTTCCCACTTCCCTTATTTCTTCCACTCAAAAAATCCTATTACATAGTAATAAATAAATTTATTTAGAAACTGCAGCATAATCTTCCATGAATAAATGTATACTAGATCTATTATTCCAGGGTGGGAGATGAGGCCCAAAAGCTTTTTCTATATAAATCACTTATCAGTTTGGTACAATTATAACTATAGTATTTTAAAAATGTTACAAATTATTGAGAAGTCCTTTTGCTTTGCATCGTATTTGCTTAGAAGTGCTAGGTATTCTAGTTCATGGTAAAAATTAATATAAGCATTCAAATTAAATGGTCTTCATTTGTATGTAGTGTCTCAGTTCACTGAAATGAAGTCTTAAATTGCTCAGATTCCTCTAGTAACAGCAATGGTCTATAAAGAGGGCAGTTCTACCGCCACCAATATCAATTTCCTTTCTTTAAAAGCTTAATCCATGTGATATCTAGAATGCCTTCCAACTTTCAAGCTTTGACTGTGTTTTAACTTCCCTTTTATTTACCATGATACTTATAAAATAACTATCTAAAATTTACTACAGAATTTTAAATTAAACTTCTACTACTTTGAGCTATTAAAATTAAACACTGCCATAATCAGAATAACCATACTAATAAATATGTTGCTATAACAGATATGGTATAAGCAGTAAATCTCAATATCATTTCAAACATGTTTGAAAGCAAAATTTTCATCTTAAAATGCAAGGGGAAAGTACACAAGTCACTGAAATACAAAACAACTCATCAAAACATTTAAAAATTCATGATCAAGTTTAAAAGGTAGCATATAAAAAACTCAAGCTAATTATCAATTTAAAACAATTCCTATGAATAATGATGTAAATTTAATACACTATAGGAAACAAGAATAATGAAACTTGTCAATCATTAGTACTACTAAACATGATCAAGAAAATACTGTACAAGTCAACTTTTCCTAGATATATATTGGAAAAGTAAAATTTATTTGTATTTAGAATAGCTTATTTTATTATTTATTAAAGTAAGCTACAATATCAAAGTACACTATATAATTTGACTCAAATCAGGTCCTACATGACACTGCTAAAATGAAGTTGTGAGTCAGCAAGTGATTTAGAGTAAATTTGATAGAAAATATACATAGGGATACTAGTAGTATTGAATCTTTCAATGATCACTGAATCTGAATAATGTGTATAGCACTGATCCTTCCTACCAATATCTAGTATGCAATTATTGGTAATACCAAGGCAGCTAAGAACAATAAAATTAATAGTTTGAAATTATGTCTAACAGCAATTACATAAAATTCATTTGGCAATATTCACTATAAGTGTTTCTAGTCAGTACAAGGACATATTTTTCTCTTAAGCTCATAATTTGTTTCTCAGGCAAGTTAGAACAAAATGCCATAATTTCTCCCACTCACAATTATACCCTCAGTAACACAAATCTTAATAAGAGCCTAATAAAATGACTTTAACATAATAACAAATTAGTTTGCATTATTATATATCCTTCTTATAGTGACATTTCTGATCAGTTGTTGACCAATTTTTAGGGGCATGTGAAGGGAAGTGCCTGAGCTATACTGGCTGGTTTTACTGGGGTTTTAGATTTCATTGTATTAAGCAAAAATTTAGTATTTATAACCATTTCTAATTATATGACATTTCTCTATACATACACACACATATATTTATATATAGCAAGCTATGCTGCTCACTCAGCATTCATTACATATATATATATGTGTATATATATATATATGAAAAAAACCTTGTAAGCTACATTTCTACTTTCCATAATCACCCATCGCTACTGTGGATGTAATAATCACAGTAAATATTCAATTTGTTAGCCCTTGTTTCCTTGTAGAGGAAATTAATTTGTATTCCATAAATTCATTTTATTAATGTTAATATAATTACTTATGGTAATTATCTTGCATAATCACTTTTAGTAATTATCTTACATAATCATAACATGTCATTAGCAATTCAAAGAAAAATAAAATTCTTAAAATGTTTTTTAATGACGGAAATTACAACACTTTTTATTAATAGCCTAAGAGAGTTCATCAAGCAGTTTAAAAATACTATTATCATTTCCCTTTACGGAAATTTTAGGGTCTATAAAATGGTTATCTTACAACAAAGTCTTTTTTGTCCTTTTGTAACTAATCCTCCTTTTTATGGACACTAATGACCAAGGTAACCTGTTGCTTACATACCAAACTGTTCTTCAATTTTATCAAACCTAAAGGACACAGCCCAAGTGATTCAATTTATGCCAGTGTTGACATGGTGTATCTTAAGTCTTTACTAAAAATAGTCTGAAAGATTGTAATACAGAACTTTCTCTCTTTGAAAACATATATTTTTCTTTATAAAATGAGGTATGACATGGACTTCAACAAGCAAGCATGAAGTTGAAGGAAGCCGCTAAAATCAAGACTATGAACTCTAATATCCTCTTAACTCTACATAGAAGCGAGGTTTGCATCTTTTAAAATAGATTATAAGATTTACCCTTTGAAAAGTGCAATGAGGTTTGTGCTGATTTCCCCATCTCCTCCTCCTTCCATCATTAAGAGTTAGATCACTGACATATATTTTTTCCTTAAAAAGCACACACACGTAAGCACAGAGAGCTTTAAAATGACTTAAGTGTAAGTGAACAACATTAACTACAAAAATTTCAGTAAGTTTGCCTCTGCATTATTTGGTAAAAGAGACCAAAAGCTATAAAGAAGCTAAACCACCTGAAATGTAGAAAATGAAAAATAATGGAATTGGTATGTGCACTGTCCTGATGTAAAACAGGAAAACAGATCAAAAGTAGAAAAGAGATCTGGAAAAATCAACATACTGTTTTCACTTTTCATGGTTTAATGTCTTATTATTTCTCACCATAATTTGTAATTTCCGTATCTGCAATGCAGACATGACTAGGGGAAAAATAAGGCAAAATTACTTAACTGTAAGAAAAATGTGCTACTAGAGAATTCTTAAAAGAGAACAGGATATATTAAAACATTTTTGATTGGGGCATCAAACAAATTTACATAGCAAAAGCAGAAACATCAATGAAATTCAATCTGTATGCCAAATTGTTACATAATAAATTATCTTATAAATGTCACATATATCACAATAAGTCTTTGGTAAGAATTCAGTCTCAGTACTTAGAATTATAACTATCTGGACCTAGAATTATAAATTACTCAAGTATACCCACCTACCACCAGCTAAAATCAATTTTGGAAAAAAAGTGCCTAAGTAGTACTGCCATTTCCTGCACATTTCTAGTTTCACTACCAAATAGTATATATACTTGGTAGCACGTTAAAAAAGTGTTGCTGCCTTATTCTAAAATGACTTTTAAAACAGCTGTTTTCCTGTTACTAGACCTGTAAACTAAAGTTAGGTTTCCGAGAGATACTCTGAATTGACCCCTATGATAGAAACAATTTCATCTGACATTAAGAACAAAAACAAAACATAAAGACAAAAAGGCAAAAATTTCAAAATTCCCTAAGACAACTACATAAAGAGCTTCCCCAACATATTATCTGAATATCATTTAACATGATCTTCAGCATTTTAAAACAGCAGCAAATTTATAATATTAAGGAAATGTGACTTGGAATTAAGGTCTTCTGCAATGTGAATAAAATGGTAGCTAAACTGTGCACCTTCCTCTGCTCTTGTATCTTCATGATCAGTCATTCTAGTAGAGGCTGCCCCAGACTGAGTAATGATTCCTGAAGGGACGTAGGGCAGATGAGCTATGATGTTGCAGAGTTTTGTCCTGCTGACCTCAGTAAATTAAATGCCGCAGCCTTTAAAACCAATTTACTAACAAAACAAGATTTTTAAGAAGTTCCAGTTACAAAATGTCAGATAATAGAGATGTCTTCAACTTTCCATGCCATCCTCCAAAATATTAAAATGATTTAAGTATTTAAAATATTCACTATTTCTGTGACTGTATAAATATGTATATATATATCCAGTGTTTTATACGCATAAAACTGAACCTTCTGTCATTCAACCAAAGTTTTGTTAGCTCACAGACACAGAAGGTACCATTAAAGAAATTTTGGTGTTAAGGTTAATATTTAACAGTAAAGAATAAAACATAAGGTTTTTCCAAGTTAGTTCACTATTTTGAAAAGCTAACAAAGAAATAAGTACAAATGATTTTTCATAGGGTGTAATAACAACTCCCCCTGGTGTTTATGTGGATATCTTCCTGCCACATTCACACAGATCTGTCATGAACGGACCAATTACAATTATTCTCAAAATGATTTTTCAATTGTCCCAAATTTGAAAAACCTGATTTACTCACAATAATTTGAAAATTTACCACATCATAGGCCATAAATTTAAAGGGAGAATATCAGTTGCTGTCTGGATAATTCAGGCCAAATTAGGAAAACTCAAAAGCACCTGCAGTATTATGGGATCACTTTAACTTTGAACTTCAGAAATGACAAGAAACCCATTTCTCTTGTGTATTTTGAAAGACAATGGTTCTAATGTCAAAAAAAGACAAAAATGCTTTATAGTCAATATAAAGTAAAAACGATTAATATAGGACAACCTAAGGTAACATTATAAATTATACATATTTACTTACATCAACATTAATGGACTAATTAGACTGCTTTGTAATTACTAATTTTCTAAAATAATTATAATGGTATTAATTGAGGATTTTCCCTTTGCCAATGATATAACTGTAAACAAATTCTCTAATAAAAAACTGCTAACTGAATGTCTAACCATCAGTTAAATTCAACATGAAAGAAAATGCTATCCTTTCTCATAAAATAGCCCTCCTTTATAACCTGCCTATTTATGAGTATCAAAACCATTGATTTATGT